GTAGGCCGGCACAAAAATCCTCTTCCAATAAGACAAACAAACCGAAATATACACAGCAAATCGGTAATAATTTCTAAATATTTAATCATGTTAGTTAATACTCTTGGATAGGAAGAAAAGTTGGGGGAAAAGAAAATAAGGTGAGAGGAAATAGAGAGAAAGAAAAACTGGAGAGAAAATATTATCATTCATCTTGTTTGGATAGATGAGAAAAAATATGGAGAAAAGAAAATGAGCAAATATCTAAATAATTAAAATGTTCTTATCAAAATATATTATATTTAAAATTAAATTAAATTAAATATTGCAATAGGAAAATATATTAATATTAGCATCATCATATAATTTAAAATCAAGTTATCTGGTTTATATATTTTCAAATTATTATATTTTAAAACAAAATTATTTTAAAATTTTCTTAGGATTAAAAATAAAAAATGAATAATTTTTAAAATATAATAAAAAAATAAATATGGAGAGGAAGAACTCCAAAAAGTTGAGAAGATGAGTAGCCACAGAAATCTAGTTTTTCTTTCCAAATTTCTACATGTATGGAAAGAAAATAAAGTATGACACCCACCTTATTTTCTACCTTACTTTTTCTTCCACCCACATTTTTTTTATTATCCAAGTGTGGAAAAAAACTTATTTCTTCTCCTATTTTTTTCTTTAGTTTTCTCTCCTCCCTAATTTTCTCTCCATCCAAGCAAGGTGTGAAGACAGCCCCAGTACACCCAAAAAAAAAAAAAGACAGCGCCCCCATATATGCAGAAACTAGAGATTATATATACTCCTCCGATCCTTAACATAAGACCTATTTAATTAATTTGATTAGATTAAGAAAGTTAAGTAAGTTAGTTAATTATAAGAAAAGTGACATATTTTTCTTAAAACACCATGATCATCTTTCTTAATACTCCGTCTCTCTCTTCTACTTCGATTATGGTTAAAGAAGTATCCATAGGGGTAATTTAGACAAAATTGATAAATATGATAAATGGATCTTATATTTAGGATCAAAACCAACTCAAGAATTGAGTTTTATATTAAGGACCAGAGGAGTATATATACACACACACTATATTATCATAGAGGGAAAATTTCACCAAATGAACCTAAAAATTACTAAATTTCAAATGAAAAATTTCTACAAAATACATTGTCATTTACAAGTCAAGTGTAATCAAAACCTGTTAAAGTATAAGAAAAAAGCCTAATTTGAAATTTAGTGATTTTCAAATTTCTTTGGAGAGATTATGTTATATATATATATATATATATATATATATATGCGCATCACACTCCAGAAGAAAAACAACTAAACATACTTTTAATATATAATTACATGTAATATATTATATAAGATTAATTAGTTAATAATATGATTTTTTGTAGAGCTTCTAAATTTTACGTTTTATATTAATGCTTGCAATGGTTATATTATTGATGATATTAAAAGCATACATGCAAGTGATGAGTTGGAAAGGGATATAACGAAGTGTAGAAATTACTGTTCTTTACGTGATATGCACTAATTTATTTCTAGCCTATTAAGAGTAGCGTTACGTGCAATTAATTAAAATTATATATATATTTCCCACTCAACTGAAGTATAAATGTATGAAATTTGATGACGTATTTGCTGTTTAATTTAATTATTCGTCCTTTCCTCCCTTTTTTCAGTTCTTCTCTTTGGCTTTTATGCCTCTTCCTAGGTCAGAAACTATACGCGCTGTACAGCAAACACATACGCGTGTGTGTGTATTGTATTATTAATAGCTATTAACTTGTTAACGTCAATCTTGCATGTCTTGTTTTTATGTTAACAAATAATGAGGTACTAATTGAGGTTTGCTTCTGCTAATGATGCTAAGTTTCTTCGGTGTTGTCTTCCACTCGTCGGAGTTGCTGACCGGAGAAGATATTTTGTTATATGTATTCCTTTCCAGTCTGTTCTTACATAACTGATAACTGACAACCACACTGACTCACTTTTCGTGCCTAGAAAAAGTCAGAGCTTAATAAATAATCAATCTCATTACTGAGCTCCCTGACACTGAGAGCCTCTCTCTCTTCTCTCTCTCTAACAAAACCTGCAAGTTATGGTGGCGGGTGCTGGTGGTGGTGAGTGGCAAGTTTATGTGATTGGGTGCAAATGACGGCAGAACACACTCTTCTATATGGAGAACAGCAAGGCTCGCCTATAACTCCATCGAACAACTTTCATTGCTGCAAATCTAGATTTAATGGAAGACTGTGGTAAAGATTGTAGATGATCACCTATTAACCTATAAATCTCATGTACACTAGTTGAGTCATAAGTTTTTAAAAGAACGATAGTATTATTTTTAGTTTCTAAAATTTGGTGTTATTTTAGATTTAGTTCCTAAAGTTTGAAATCAGAATTTTGGTCCATGAAATTTGATCTTATATTGATTTTGATTCCTGAAATTTCAAGCTAATATTTTGCGTCCTCAAATCTGACTTCATTTTAGTCGAGTTTAAGATTTTTGGTCTCTAAAACAATGACCAAAACTAAGACGAGGTAATTAAATTTCAAGAATCAAAACCATTTGTTTAAGAACTAAAATTAAAAGGAGGAAGATGTATAAGTTATCACATACTATGTCATGTCCTTAATATAAAAGCTAATTGATTAATTTTGAGTACATTAAAATTTTTTTTTTAAGTTAGTTATTTGTAATAAATATGAATTATCTTTTCTAAAATACTTTTACTAATCATAAGTCTTAGCTAGAACTATATGTGATAGAACATTTAATATGTACAAGTACTACAAAGACTACTTTGAAAAAATGGATAAATATAAAAGACAAAGTGGATTGAAATTTTATATTGTACCAAATTGAATTTCAAACAAGCTCTTATTCTAATTTCTAAGGATTAGAGCTAGTATTAACTTATATTTCTAAAGGATTTGCAAATTTCAAAAGTTGGCTTGACTTGTAAATTTTGTGTAAAGATTTGTAAAGAACCGTGATATTAAGGATTAATATTTTGGTAAAAATATTACAAAAATAAAAATAACTTGTTTGTTTTGGTCAAAATGGTATTTTGATTTTTTTTTTTTACTGATGACTCGACATTTGTTTATAATTCGTTGAACTGGATTGGTAATAATTTCAATAGGATACTTATTTATAATTTTCAAGATATTTTCCGTAATTTTTTCTACCAACTAGTAGTGCCAAAATAATGGGTACATTCATTTTTAATTTCTTAGGGACACCATACTGTGCCAACCTTCACTTTAGGTTCAGTGCACCTCTCGAAAAAGAATTTATGAACAAAATTAGACTTTAACTTTTCATTTCATGAGAGTTGTTCCATGTTCAATGCATATTGAAATTTAAAAAACTTTTTTTTTTTTTTGGCAATTGGCTCGCTTCCAATGAATCTCAAATGCTAAAATGATGCAATACGTTCCCCTTAATTGTTTAGAAACGAAACATTACCTGAGGACTTCATGTTGGCAAAAAAGTCGTCTCTCATGTTTGGCGTGTTACATTAGATGTCAACGCATAAGTCAATCAAAGACTTGTGGTGGGTTATCCACGTTGATCATGGAAATCACTCTGGGTGCCCATCACTGCCATTAACTGTTTATATTTAAGATTTTCAATAAATAATTTTTACATAACAATCATTTAAAAAAAACTAACAATAAAAAACTAAATATGATATATTACATGTGACGATATATTAAATCTAGTTGGTCCAGATTTTAGTGCTCATCATCATTAGATGAACATTAACGAGTCATATCGTTATCAATGGGACCAATCCTTATGGTATGTGCTTTATGCTCTTGTTTACCATCCTAGTCACCCCTATTAATTCACAAGTGTTAACCTACAAAAAATTTTGAAAAGTTGTGATACATAAAAAGGACAAGAAGAACACCGAATGCTTAGATTGACTAGCTGTGGGGTCGTTCTAACTTAACCAAGATCAGGAGTTCAATCCCGTTTGGGAATGCAAAAGCGTGGAATGGTAGGCAAGCCATCTATTAGGGGATCCTTCATGGGTGCCACTCTAAATTAGTCTAAACCTGTTGAAAAGCCTGAAAAATGATATTGGCCTGGGATACCGGGAGAGATTAACTAAAAAAAAAAAGACAAGAAGATCTCGTGTACGGTCCCTACAAAAAATTTCTTTGAATACTTTTGTATGAATTTTAATGCTTTTGGGTATGAATACTGCACATTTAATGAGGATCTCAATTGCTGACTTCGCTATTAATATTGAATATTCATATTCATTGTCCTGCGCTCCCCGAAATTAAGATTTTGGGATTTGACTTTAATTTAGTTTCCTTTCTTAATTCCACAAGAAACAACCTCACTAATCCCGAAATTAATCCCTAATTCATGAAAACCACGCGGCTTTCCTTGCAGGTCATCATCCCCACTTGTCAATTGTAGATTTTTTTTTTTAACTGTTGGTTCGCTTCTATAGCTTAAAATTCATGATAATGTTTGAATGAAAACTAAACTATATAATTTTAAAAATAATTTTACGATACATAACATAAATGTGTAAAAAAAATATTATCAAACTCATGAAAATTTCAGCATTTCAATTTTTCCCATATTTGATGCTTTTTCAGTTCTTAATATAAAACCTATTTAGTTAATTTGATTAAACTGAAAAATTAGGTAAGTTAGTTAATTATAAGAAACATGATATGTTTTTCCTAAAACACTATAATTATTTTTTTTTAATATCCTTCCTCCCTCATTTACTTGATTATAGTTGAGAGAGTATTTATAGAAATAATTTTAAAAAATTAATAAATATAAAAAATATATCTTATATTTAGAATTAAAATTAATTTAATAATTATCTTCTATATTAAAGAGCCAGGTACGATTTTCGTTTCCGTTTCGAAGTCGGGGTCTTCCCCTCCCCGCCTATATATGTAAATATAAACCAAAGCCATCTCTCCGTGGTTCGATCAACTTCCTCCATAACCATAAAGCCGACAGGGAGTTACAGAGCTCAGAGGCTAAATTCAGATTCTGCCATGGTTATGGTGGTCGCCTTCGCCGTCGTGACGGTTATAGTGATCTTCGTGACTCTGTTTCTCAGAGTTGCGTATGATACTCTGTTATGCTACTTCGTCTCGCCGATACGTATCGAACGCATCATGGCAAAGCAAGGCGTGCGTGGTCCCAAACGCCGCCTTCTCACCGGCAACATCCCCGAAATGCACTCTCTTCACTCCTCCGCCACCTCTAAACCCATGAAATCAATCACGCACGACATTGTCGGCCGCCTCGTCCCGCATTTCGCCGCCTGGTACCCCCAATACGGTATCAAACCGAATCACCCTTTCTTCTTCTTCTGATACACATGTCTTCTTAAAGCTTAACACTTTGGACTGTTTGATTCATCAGGACAGAGGTTTCTGTACTGGAACGGGATAGAACCCAGGTTGTGTTTGACGGAGATGGAGCTGATCAAGGAGTTCTTGGCGAAATACAACTCTGTTTCGGGGAGGTCATGGCAACAAAGACAAGGTTCGAAGCATTTCATAGGGGAAGGATTGTTAATGGCGAATGGAGGAGAATGGTACCATCAACGTCACATCGTTGCCCCTGCATTTACAGGAGAAAGACTTAAGGTATAAATACTGATTCACTGTGCTCTGTTTCTTCTTTTTCTTTTTCTTTTTCTTTTTGTTTTGGAATTTGTGTGAAGACGGCGATGGTTCTCTCTGTGTGATCTGGTCACAAATGGTTGGTTGCTTAAACAGGAGTATGCCGGGCATATGGTAGAATGCACTAAAGAGATGCTCCAATCACTACGAAATGCATTCGAATCAGGGCACACTGAGATAGAGATAAGCGACTATATGACTCGACTCGCTGCCGATATAATCTCAAGAACTGAGTTCGGTACGAGTTACGAGAAGGGAAAGCAATTATTCCATCTTCTCACTAATCTCCAGACCCATTGCGCCCAAGCAAGTCGCCGTCTCTGGTTTCCCGGAAGCCGGTGAGCCGTTGATTCTCGGAAATTCCATACTTTTCCGGTACCCCCATGAAAGAATATAATCTTGAAATGAGATGATCCTGCGTTTTTTTTTCACAGGTATTTTCCGACCAGGTATAACAGAGAGACGAAGTCGATGAAGAAGAAGGTGGATAAGTTGTTGATGGAGATAATAGAGAGCAGGATGGACTGTGTGGAGATTGGAAGAACGAACTCGTATGGGAATGATTTGTTGGGGATACTGTTGAATGAGATGATGATGAAGGACAAGGAGAAGAAGAAGAAGAAGAATAGAGGGAATAGTAATGGGTTTAGCTTGAATCTGCAGCTGATTAAGGATGAATGTAAGACATTCTTCTTCGCCGGCCACGAGACGACGGCGTTGTTGCTGACTTGGACGGTGATGCTGCTCGCCAGCAACCCGTCGTGGCAAGACAAGGTTAGAGCGGAGGTTAAGGAAGTCTGTAATGGCGGAATTCCCTCTCATGAACATCTCTCCAAGCTCAATCTGGTAATTACTCCACATTGCTTTAGTCTTCAATATTTATTGATTCATGTTCCTTTGAAATTTTTCAAGTGTTACTTGCTTCTGTTGTGTTATGAATGAATTTTATTTTATTTTATTTTTTTAATGTTTAAGAAATAGATTAAAAAAACAAGATATTAGTAGTATTTTGTATAAACCTTCAGGGCGTTTAAAAGCTTCACAATACCGGTTGGATGAAATCAAAATTTTATAAAAGGCAAAATATACTTTTAAGCCTTTAATTTTAGATAAGGTTTGAATTTACTCTTTTAACTTTAAAATTTTTTTTTAATTTTTTAACCTAAAATTATTGACAAAAATTGATAATATTAAGTTCTTGAGTGTTGATAAAACATTCTCAAATATTAACATATTAAGTTTAAATATCAAAACAATTATGATTATTAAAAAAATCATCATTTAAGACTAATAATTCTAGGATAAAAAACTAGAAATATGTTTTTTAAAGTTAGGAAGCCAAAATGAAACATTGTATAAAGATAAAGAACTAGGTGTATACTTTAACTTTTTATAAATGATTATGGTATATTGCGTCATTTAAAATATTGGTGAAAAATACGTGTTTTTAGAAATTTTGTTGGCAAAAAAAAAAAAAAGCTTAAATTTAAGTACAGAATACCAGTTTCACTGATTTTCCCTTTAAATAATTTGTTTTGGCAGTCCACATAATAAATTGATTTATCATCAAATGTAATAAAAAGTTTTAAAATTTTATTTTTTGAACAAATGTACCATATATTTAGGTGTTTTTGGAGGGGACCAACTCTTTTTTTCTTTGTTTTTAATAAAAAGCCTGAGATTTGGTCTTTTGAATCGACTATTGGGACGGCGGCAGATTAGAAAAGAGAGGGGGGAAAAAAAAAGTAAGGAAGAAAGATCACTGAGGAAATTTAGGAGAGAATGGAACTTATTTTGGTGAGTGGGTCTTTATTTGCCTTTTTGCATTTTTTTAATGGAACTTTGGAATTTGACTCTTTTATTATGATAGAGAAAAATCAGGAAAAAAACAAAGATAAGAGAGGAGTTTAATTACGTACAGCCATTCTTCTCTGCCTCTATATTTTTGTTAATCTTCCCATTCAGGTAGTAATTCAAGGTGCACGAACTTTACATAAGTGGAAAAAAGCTACACAGTTAATTATTAGATCCAGCCAATTTTACATTAAAAAATTTTACAAAATTGTCTAAAAAAATTATAAATTTTAAAAATTCAAGTATAATTATCTGAAATTCACATGATTCACATAATATTTAAAAACGAAAAAAAAGTGTAAGGTTGAGGGCTTTGGGAATGGAATTTACCGTATTTTATGGTTTCGCGGGCAAAACATGATGAAATCTAGAGACGCCAGGCTCCTAGTTGAACAATTTAATTCAAAAGAAGATAACGTAGGCATAATGAAAGAGAAAAAAAAAAAAAAGGAAAAAGGAGAAAAAAAAAGATAGAATGATTTATAGATTATACATAATAAGCACCCGTGCGCCTGTGGATTGGGTGTGTTTGGTTTCAGGAATAATTTTTTTTGGTACAAGTTTCAGGAATAATTAAAAACGAGAATAGGGGATCTTTAAGGAGGAGCGGTCAAAAGTTGATCAACACTATTCACGTTTATTCTGTACACGAGGGCTTGTCTTCCTTTTTTTTTTTGGGAGATAAAATAGGGGGGGGGAACCCCAAAGGGAAGTTTCTGGGCCCTACATCCCCATGGTTCGTGGCCACCCACTTTCCAAGATTTAATTTTTATTTCTTTAATTTTTTATTTTATATTTTTGACAAAATATTTGTTAAGTACAAATTCATTGGTAGTTCAAATTTATTTGCCAAATTTGTCCAAAACTATTATACTACCCCTCCGGTCCTTAATATATGACCCAATTCTTGAATTGGTTTTGATCCTAAATATAAGATCTATTTCTTATATTTATCAATTTTTTCTAAATTACTCATATAGATACTCCCTCAATTATAATCAAGTAGAAGAGGGAGGGGAAGTATTAAGAAAGATGATTATGGTGTTTTAGGAAAAATGTGTCTATTTTCTTATAATTAATTAACTTACCTAACTTCCTTAATCTAATCAAATTAGTTAAATGGGTCTTATATTAAAGACCGGAGGAGTACTTAATAAGCTCTTTCGAATAAATTAAAATAAGTGTTTTAATGCTGTACAAAATAAAATTCTTTTCGATCACATGCATAAAATCACCTCTCTACAAATTTCTCTCAGTTTCTTTATTTAATAATTCTTTATTATTTATTTATTTATTTATTTATTTTTATTGGTGATTTTTGCAGTTACATATGGTAATAAATGAAACAATAAGGCTATATCCTCCGGCAATGGTACTTCCAAGAATGGCCTTTGAAGACATAAGGCTTGGTGACCTTCTAATTCCAAAGGGAGTATCTGTTTGGGTACCGGTTTTAGCTATCCATCATAGTAAAAAGCTATGGGGCGAGGATGCGGATGAGTTCAACCCGAACCGATTCGCTTCAAAGTCGTTCTCGTCGGGTCGGTTCCTGCCATTTGCCGTCGGACCCAGGAACTGTATCGGGCAAGCTTTTGCTCTAATGGAAGCTAAGATCATACTGGCAATGTTCATCTCGAAATTCAGATTCACTATTTCTGAGAAATATCGTCATGCTCCTGAGGTTGTTCTTACCATCAAGCCCAGATATGGAGTTCAAGTTTGTTTGGAGCCCCTGGATAACTAATCCCGCATAAGGACATATGCTTCGTTGTCCAAACCGGAATAGTGGAGGAGAGTGAGGAATTGGGAGAGTTCTCTTTTTATGCAAAGGGAAATATATAATATTATATTTTTATCTGGTTTTATTAGGAAAAAAAATAAGTTGACTCGCTCGGATCAAGTCAATTTTACCCTTTTTCTAATTATTGTACATGAGAGAGGATTTGTTTTGAACCGTGACAAGTATTTCTTAACTTTTTCAAATTAAAGGAGTGTTTGGGTGAAAATTTAAAAGTAATTTTACATAAATAAACATGTGAAAAGAGTTGTATTTTGATTTACATAAAAATATTTTTAAAAAATGCTTTTTGTATAAACCAAACACCCCTTAACCCTAAAGTCTATGTTTTGCTGAGTTAATAAAAATATTACTCATAAATATTCGAGAATTAATTGTTCAGTAATTCGTAAAATCTAAAAAAAGTACGAGGTCTTTTTTAGGTATCGGTGCTTTCTGAAAACATATAATATTGAATTCAGGAACTACTGAATAATTGATTCTTCAGACAGATATTTATGGGCAATCTTTTCTAAATAAAATCAAATATATATAACTTAAAAATAGAAGGAAAAATGACCCCAAAAAAAGATCATGAAAATCACAAAATTCCAAAAAACATATTCTTAGAAAAATATGTTGTAATCTGCAAGTTAAAAATTGTCAAGACCTGTCAAAGTGTTGTAACAAATTCTGATTTGAAATTTAGTAACTTTTAAGTTTTTATTTGTCATTTGTTCAAAATAGAATTTTCAAGGGCTGCACTATTTCTGCACAAATTTCTAGATTTTTTTTTTAAGGAATGTTGGTATTGGTAAACTTTTATTATTAATTTTTTGGTTGAAGTAGTGCAATGAAAATATGGGGATCAAATAATAATAATAATAATAATAATAATAATAATAATAATAATAAATGCAGAAGGATTAAAATGAACAAAACGAAGGAACCAAATCACATTTATGCTTGTGAGAATGCATAATGAATATGGCGTCTGTGGCAATTAGGTAAAATTGGAAGTCAATGGAACGCACAGATATAAAGTTTGTCACACACTGCTGCTGTTCTGATAAGTTTGATGCTAATCTATACACATCCACTTGGTTATGATTGATGATGCTTAAAGAGAGATTTTAAAAAAATATCTATAAATGACTCTCACGTGATGGGATTAATTGTTCTTATCTAATAATGATAAAAATGAATACTATATCCAGCATTTAGTATAGGAGTTGGTTTGACTTTTAATGTGGTCTTAAATATAAGATCTCAATATATTTTGTTTCTCATATTTATCTTTTTTTTTCAAAATAGTCCTTATAATAGTTGTACATGTTAAAAGTTTCATGATAGTTCTGATTAATACATATAATTAGTAATGGTATTCTTGGAAAGACAACACATATTTATTATAAATAACTAACTTAACAAACTTTGTTAATCTACTTAAATTAGTTAACTAACTCTTATATTAAAGAGCGGAGGTAGTATTATATATATTGTACTATCTTCTGTCAAGAGTATGAACACTGTGGATTTATTTCATATTACAAAAATTTTAAATTAATTTTAACAATGATTATTAAATAAAAATAATATTTAAATATTCATGTCATTTATTAAATTATATTTAATAATTATTATTATAAAATATGATTATGGAAATGTAAACATCTTTATAAAATTCATATTGCAAATAAATTTCTCAAAGTCACTTATATATAATATTAACAATTGATCAATTTTGTCACAGAAAAAAAAAATGATCCATTTCACCCGAATTTAACCCCCGCACTGATGCCCCCGCTTGCTGTAAAAAACTTCCACACGAGTTTGCAAATACTTCCATTAAAGTTTCCACCTTGGGGCCCTGGGCCTTAATTTCATAAATGGGGTTCTTAAATTACAGGTGATTTTGGTAATTGTCTCTAATAAACACTAATATTTTTTTTCATAATAAATAGTATTTCACTTTTTGTACAACACCACCCCTTTTCCCCATCTTTTTCATCTTTTCATCTTTTTCATTTTTCATCTACCACAAAATGCACTAATTATTATTTTATTCAAATATTTTGTAGTACCTTTTCTAGCTCTTGACAAGAATGTTGTGGGGTTGTTAATTATAGTTGAGTTTTATTAAGTGTCATTACTTCACATAATAAATTCGTTACTTTTTTTAACTTTTCAATTGAATTAGTGTTTATTTTTTAATTTATTTAAATCTTGTTGTGATTTACTATCTATGATTCTAATTATAAGACTTCATTTATAGTCTATAAACGAGGTCTTATAATTAGGACCGGAGATAGTAGTTGCTAAGAATTTCCACAAATAGGTTAAGAAAACATTAATTGGTAGAATAGAGGCATGTGTTTGCATATGTTCATTAAATTGCTTTAGGATATGTGATTAGATAAATCACATTAATATGTGGCTGTTAAAAATTTTCGCCAATACACTAGTATGCCATCCTTTGTACCAAAACTAATTTCACCAATAGGCTCATATTGAAATAAATCAAACTTTGAGTAGAATAGTAAAATATGTTTGCAAATTTTTAGAAAATGTGATCATTGTGACGTATAATTAAGTTTGTTTCGCATAAATGAATAGATCATTGATAGTTTGCTACAAGTTATATAATTTTTACATCTAGAATCATATTTTTCGATTTTGCTTAGCCCACAAAAATTCTTAGGGTGAAACTTCTATCCATATCCAAAATGGAATTTTGAAAAGTAGCATGTGAAGACAAAAGTGAAAGATTAATTAATAATTCAACTAGCTAGCGGAGGCATAAAATAGTCGAACACGACATGAATTCTAGGACTAGGTTTTGACATTTGTAAAAATGATCATATCAATTAGTGTTCATAGACATGACAATATTTTCAGACGCAAAAAAGTCTAGTGAGATCCCCCTTTTTCATTGATAGATAAATGACAAGGCTAGAGTTTTATAAGATGAAGCTACTGCAAAAGAAACATTTTATGATGATTATAATGAGCTTTTACGACGATTTTGAGTGTGATACCTGTGTTATCAACATAAAAAAGTAGAAGATTCCATGATGGTATATGAACCACCATGCTATGTGACTTTTTATAGTGGTTATATAAATAACCACTGTGAAAAGTTTATTTATGATTTACTGAATTCTTCTCCTCTTGCTTCGCTCGAGACCTAAAGCCCTTCACTACCAATAGAACACTAAAGCCTTCAATCACCAAATTGAAACCACTAAGATTTGATGAAGGTACAATCGAACACCAAAATCTGATAAAACTAGTAAATTTCAGGCTATCAAACTCATATCTACAAAATAAGGGGAACAAAAATTAGATCTATTCAAGATTTCATATATCAAAGTATGTTTAAGCAAGGAGACTAACAAAAAATAGATATATTCAAACTTAGAACAAACATTATGCTTTTAATCAAAGAAAACACTACCCACATCTTTTTAATGGAAAGAATGGAGGAAAAAAGGTAAAAAAAAAAACTCACAATTAAGGAGGAAGAAGATGACACGGCAGTGATGGACGAAAATGGCGGAGATGAAAAAAGCAATGGGAAAATGCCGGCAAAGGTAAAAAAGGGGAGAAAATTGAGTAGGGATATAGTGAGAGACCATGTGCTTTGACTATAAAAAGTGGAAAAACTATCATGTGATAGAAAGGATTTGAAAATTCTAATAAACTTTCTAAAGTGATTTTTTAAAACAAAAAACAAATGTAAAAAAGACTTTTCATGGTAGTTTTTTGAATAATACCAACAAAATATTTTTTACAGTGGTTTTCTGGATAACCATCGTGAAAAATAACATACTTTCATATAATTTCAAAAATGCCACTATCATTTTTTTAACAGTGTTTTGCTTGATAACTGCCATAAATTAGTGTCATGAAAACTCTTTTTAGTAGCAGCGTGATAAAGATGGACAAAAGCTTCATATTTGTGACTATATCACGTCTAACTAAGAAGATACATTTAAGGATTTTGCAGACAACTAATGATGTTCAAGATTTAAATTATTAACAAAGCAAGTACACTCAAAAACTTAAGAGAAGGAAATAAGCTTGATTGGTTCAAACAATCATAAGGAATGAAACGACAGAAAATGTAATCTAATAAAACTTGATTACAGAGCATTTGTTTGGTATACTATTAAGAAATCAAGAAACAAACTTCGTCTATTTTGTTTAGAAAAATTAACTAAATGTGAAATGGTACTTTTAACCCTGTGAAGGCAGAAAATAAAGGATATAAATCATGTTCAATTATTGATTTATCGAGGATATAGATGTCCAGAAATTGATTCATGGAGGCTTGAATTTGGATTACACATGCAACGCTTCAACCACAACATTTGTAAACTTGCCAAATAATATACCATGCAGCCAATAAAAGCTTGTGACATCCCAATCACGCACACATTGAGGCTTAGGAACTCTATCCCAAAGACAAATAGTCCTTGTAAGATAAAACAACATGTAATAACAATTTAGTGTTAAGAAAGTTCTCAAGAGGGGCCGGCCCATATCACTTGTAACATCATAGGCTTCTAAACCTTAGTAATTAGGGAATTAATTTGGGTTAATTGATATTTAGGATGATTTTTTTGGGCAGATTGAGGTTCATGGATGGATGAATATTGATTGAGGCACAGTACAAGAACAATTAGGAATAATTTTCGAATAAGATGCATAGGATTGAAATGAGAAGATGTTGGGGTTCTGTTTATATTCGTCCGCGGACATGACCAGGGAGGGAATTTGGTGCTTATAAGCTTAATTGATAATTAGAAGTGAGAATTGGGATTTGGGATTTTGGACCTGTTTAGAATGACTTACAAGTAATTTTTCAATCGTAATTTATAAAATACCAGATAAATCTGTGAGAAGAATTTTATCTCAGCTTACATGAAACATACTTATAAGTCATTTTAAATGCCATGCCAAACAAGCTTTTTACGTAATTGAGTCTTCTGCCCATTTTTGCTGATGAATATTGTGCATGAACTATATGCAGATTTATATAGATTGTAGCTTAAACACGGGGTTCCACAAATTGCTATTAATTGTATAAACTTTAAGGAAAGGTAACCTCGTTGGATTCATTTACGTACATTTGTA